GTCTTGGTCCCAGCAAACCCTCTTTTATTTACATGACTTGTGAATTCCTTCCATTCAAAGTCCGCAAGGTTTAGCAAACAGTCTTTCAGAGGAATATTCATCAACACGAACCTTATCTCGCTTGGAGAGCTGCCAGATAACTAGTTTCCAAACGGCAGGGCAAGGCAAAACTTGGCACAGAGTCTCTTATTGTCACAAACAGAACTTTCCACTCTTGAAACGACCAAAGGAACGAATTGTCTCCTGCAAACTCCACTCCCCTTTCGCTCCTCTTTTATGTCCTATGGGAGGGGCCATTCACCCTCTACTTGTGGCCTTACTCCCAAGTCTACCCTGATTTCTGAGTTGTTCTTGCCTTCTGGCAGCTCTGCGCATGCACACACTGGGAACAGGCTCCAGCTGTTCCTCTGCCTCACTGCTGTCTAGCTCCCTCTATGCCTCTGACGCAGAGTCCTCGCCTGAGCTTCTCTCGGCCCCCAGGACTGGCCCATGTTCCTCCCCAACCTCCTCACTGTCTGGCTCTGCAGCCAGCTCTGCTGGCCACTGGCAGGCCACAACACTAGGAAACAAAAGAATCTATTTATGGCTGCAGCCCTTCCTGTACCTTGGGAAAAACGTTAACAGGATACAGAGTCCCTGAGTTGCAAGGGACCTTGGAGGTCTTCTAGTCCAACCTCCAGCTCAAGCAGAAGACCCGATACCATTCTGAACAAATGATTGTCCCATCTCTTCTTAAAAGCCTTCTGTGATGGAGCAGTTATTATTATTATGGAAAACGTGCTTATGAATATTCCATTGGCTGCAAAACTGATGCAAATCCTACCATCCAGAATACATTTTGTATCCTCCTCTTACTCCTCCTTTTCTCCTTCCCCCATTCCACAATTCCCACTCCGTTTCCAGCACTGACGACGTTACCAAGTTCGGCAATGAAACGTCTGCAAGGAACAGCCAAGCTCAAAGAACACCAAGGACCCATCAGTGCTCCTCTTCCTCCTCTTCCCCCACCTCGAAACCCCATTCCTTTCCAGCACTGATGACACTATCTGGTTTGGTAATGAAACGCCTGCAAAAAAAACAAACAACTAAACTCAGAGCACCATCAGTTCTCCTCCTCCTCTCCACAAACCCCACTCCTTTCCAGCACAGACGAGGAAGAGGAGGAGAACGAGGAGAATGCACTAAATGAATGTAGCACTTGTTTTAAGCTACCTTGAGGTTATGTCACATAGAGATGAGCACCAACGGGCTTGGTTTGATGATCGTTTTGGGGATTCACCAGATGTGGGAAACTGGCTGACATATTCTGTAGAGGTTTGCAATCCCCTACCAAGAATTCCGCTCACAAGACCCGAGGTGACCTCTCCTTTAGGCTAATTTTCATGTGCTTATTTTTCCTCTTCCCAAACATCAACAAGAATTACGCTGATGCGCCGATGCAAGCTCGCCGCTTCAGTTCTTGCGCGATGCCAAGCTGAAATTTAAGTCGATAGTTAGCTGCCTCTCACTCTCTCTCCTAGACCGAAAAGGGGATAAGATCTTAGACAATTTCTGCTCTGGTTTAAATTAGGATGTGAAATATATATTTTTTTTTTTTCCAGGGGGGAAAGAAAGCACGATGGAAGTCATGTGTTCCCAAACAACCGTCTCTTGGCTAGAAAATCCACCCTGGGCATTTCTGAGAGCGAGCCCAGATGGCTTCCTTCGTCCCAGGCAACTGAATGGAAAATGTGAGTGGATGAAATAGTTTAAATAAGGTCCACATAGTTCTTCCTCTTCTGGCCTTTCAACTTCGGGGGCTCTAAATGACCTCCAAGGTATCTAACTTCTACCGATCATTAGTGCGCGAAAGGAAATCTCAACCAATTCGGTGCTGCTTGGGGAAAAACAAACACCTATCTTCATTTGGACTGATTTATGGAGCGTTCGTTGACAAACCACAGGTTTGCTCCAACGTGGCCCAGGGGGCTGCACAGGAGAGCAAAATCTGTACCTCCATAACCATCTGGTTTGGCTCTGCAACCCAACAAGGCAGACACGGACTTCAGAGGAGAATCAGAACTGCAGAAAAAACAATGGCNCTACCTACCTACCTACCTACCTACCTACCTACCTACCTACCTACCTACCTACCTACCGTAACTATATACAATAACTATCATACTAGAACTAGACCAACAATCAAGCAGGAAACAATACCACAAAGAACTCAATACCACAACCAACACTAGCAGGGCAAGCCACTTGTGTATAAACAGATAGCAAAACGCACACCCTTCTAGCACTGATGATGTTACCTAGTTGGGCCATGAAATGTCCACAAGAAGACAGCCAATCTCAGACGGCACCAAGAATCTCAAAGTTGTCCTTTTCTTCCTTACCCTCCCTCCGTCTTCCTTCTCCTCTAGTTCACAAGGCCCATTCCCTTCTAGCACTGATGGCGTTACCTAGTTGAGTCATGAAACGTCTACAAGAAGACCACCAAGCTCAGAGAGATCAAAAATTACTTCGGAACGAAACAGTTTATTACCAAAAGACTTAGAGATGAGAAGTGGGAGCTGATTCATTTATGGAGAATGATGTAACTGTTTCATTTCACAACCATTTATGTCTGCAGAGAATAATGGAGTTGGAAGGGACCTTGGAGGTCTTCTAGTCCAACCCCCTGTCTAGACAGAAAACCCTACAGCACTTTAGATAAATGGTTATCCAACATCTTCTTAAAAACCTCCAGTGTTGGAGCATTCACAACTTCTGGAGGCAAGGAGTTCCACTGATTAATTATTCTCACTGTCAGGAAATTTCTCCTTAGTTCTAGGTTGCTTCCCTCCTTAGTTAAATAAGTCAACATAGAAGCTTTTGACCCCTATGAGGGGCAGAATTAGGAAATCAGACGGAATGACTAAGGCTATTCATTATTCAATGACGTCCTGGAATAGGAGAAGATAATGTGCTTTGGGAATTCTGGTATGGCCTCCCTGAGGATGAGTTGAGAAGAAGCCATCAAGGAAGTTGAGAGCCAGTGAGACAATTCTGCCTAGCCGTCAACAATTGGCAACTCGAAATCCCAGAAACAAAGCTATTTGTCAGTAACCATGGCTACCTCTAAAGTAAACGCCATAGTTAAATGTCAGGCTAATTGTTTACGTGGAAAAAAAAAAGGATGCTTTCCTTTTGGTCCAAAGTTAAGGAAGTTCCATCCAGCTTACATCATCAGTGTAGTAAATACCCCAACTGGCCAAGGGCTCTTCCCTAATCCTTGAAAAACAAAGCATAGGCAAAACAACAATAACAACACAAACCAGGTCCTTCTGAGTTTCAACTTTAGCTCTAATTCCAGAGTCAGACATACCAAGTTTGACCAGGCCGACGTCCAGCTCATGGCATCCACTCAACTCTCCAACGAGAAGAATTGGATTGTCAACATTCACCGGGCGATGATGGGAAGGTGCTTTCCCTGGTCATGTTGATGGGGACTAAACTGTGTGATGGGGTGTCACACTGTTTCGCCCCAGAGAACCAGATGTTCTGACCCAAGAAGCAGAGTCTTGGTCCCAGCAAACCCTCTTTTATTTACATGACTTGTGAATTCCTTCCATTCAAAGTCCGCAAGGTTTAGCAAACAGTCTTTCAGAGGAATATTCATCAACACGAACCTTATCTCGCTTGGAGAGCTGC